CCGGGCTTGAAGCCTCTGGTCTCCCGAAGCCCAGTGGCCATGGCGACAGGCCGCGGCAGGTTGAGGACCTTTGCTGCCGAGCCTGGGGAATGTCCTGAAAGCATAAATGCTGGAATTAAAAGTCTGTGTTTGGCTCCTACCACAAAACTGAAATCGAATGTGTGCGTTGAGAGCATGCCATCAGAAATACTGCTGAAGATATTTTCCTGTTTGGATGCTGTGTCCCTGTTGTCTGTTGGTTGTGTGAATAAACGCTTCCATGACCAGGCCAATGACAGTGGAATTTGGCTGAAACTCTATTCCAGTTTTATGCAACCAAAATGGACAATTTGGAAAAGGACATCTAAACAAACAGAAACTGTTTTGGGCTGTGCTGCTCTACATGATGAAAAGCCTGGATACTGTAAGAAAGAATACACCCTCAAACAAACATCTGTCTTCAAAACTAGAATAATGCGGCTTGTTAAACTTCTAGATCCTTATACAGGTCTTCCATGTAAAAACAAAGAAGCTATGAGAGTCTCTGTCTTGAGTTGGACAATTGTTCTAAAGGACAAAAATGGAAATGAGCATATAATCGAGAACCCAAACCTATCATTTAAAGACACATCTGTTACCATACTTTGGCATGGTGCAGTCTGGCCGCACTTAGACATCCTGTCAACCCTAAAACTATTTGGAGTTACACCACTGCTTCTTGACMAAAGCAGACCTCTSAGCAAGAACAGACCTCGTCGATTTTCCTTGATTGCTGAATACTGTCTTGCTAACCTGGCTGAAAGTAGTGTAACAATCAGTGCTGATGAGCTTGTCCAGCTCTTCAGTCTGGATCCAGAACTCTTATTAGGGATTTGGAAGGAGAAAAATGAAATTGCTTATGTTATGGTGAGTCTTCATTATAATCAACACCTTGAGAGAAGCATTTTGGGTTTTGCCACTATTCAATATGTCCCTCCAGCTAATAAACCTTTACTGGATGATATTGTCCTGGAATATGGACTGCATGGTTACAGTTTGCATCTGGATCTGCATGGCAGAAGCTGCAGATACCTGTGTGGAACTTTCAAGGGCCTCTTCTGCAGGAGAGTTGACTTTGAAAA